AGAGAGAGAGAGAGAGAGAGAGAGAGAGAGAGAGAGAGAGAGAAACATTACTTTTTGTTAAATAATGATAACTATAAAAAGAAATGGCTTCCAGTTGTTTATACTGTATCCTGGACAACTGAGGTGAATTGAGTAGCCTTCTGCAGCCTGTATTAAAAACTGAGTCGATATTAAAACAGTTTAGTTATATTTTTATATTCAGATTAAATTACAACCATTAAAAGACATCTTTAAATCTTGATCATTCTCATAATTAGCCTGAAGCTGCCACACCAAAAATACATGTTTTGTCATTAATAAGTTCTCAGGGCCAACATAAAAATGTGTCCTTAATAAAGTTATAATGAAACCTAATAGGAATATGTTTTCACAGCTGTGTTTTTTTGTTTTAAATAAGGTGTTATTATTTTAATTGGATATAAATGTAAAGTTTAAAGTTAATGTAGATTTAACTTTTTCACGTTTTGATAATTTTCCTTTGTAGAAATATTACAATAAAAATTACATTGACAATGTAAATTATACTTTCCATTGCATCTTTATAGCAGTTTTAAAGCTTGCATATTTTATTTTTATTTTTTTTGGGGTGCTGAATAATAAAATGTTGGTTTTAAAAGTCCGAAAACTGTAACACGCATTGGTGGATAAAGTTGTGGGGAAGATAAAGTATAACACATACACAGATAAACACAGAACAAGATGAAAGGAAAACCTGGTAGAGGCAGCAGAGGACTGTGGAAAAACCATAATTTCTGAGAGACTAACAATAGTGATCAGACATCCAGAGCTGTATTTAAATTATGAAGTTAGTTTTTTTGTTTTTATTAAATTGAAGGAAAAAAGTTACCTGAAAGGGGAAAGTAATTTTGAAAGTAAAATGAATATATAAGAAATCACAAATATATCAACAAATTTTCACAAAAAATGTTGTTTCTTTGGGAATGAAGAAAAAGCTTTGAGAGAAAATATTTGATCAGTGAATAAATAAAAGTAACATTGATATTTGGAAAATGGTAAAGAAGCTTTCTCAACAATATATTTTAACTCTTTTTTTTTTTTTTTTTTTTTTTGCAATCAGAGTAAAACCCTTGTCTCTTAAAAAATATATTTCTGTCCCAATTTTCTTTTTTCTTTCTCTCAAAACCTAAATCTTTGTTCTCGATTCAGAATTTTTCATTTGATGTGAATAATGTGTCACAGGCGGGCCTGTGTTCCTATTGGCCAGTCTTAGTGGTGAGATTAGTTTGAGATGAGCAGCGCCTCGCCTGGAATGTGGATGAGAGCTTCGGGCTGCGCTGACTTATGGCTGACTTGGAGTGAGAGAGAGAGAATAAAAAGTTTTTGAGAGACAATTGTTTCACTCTGATAGCCAAAAATGAAATTTGAGAGTAAAAATATATTTTCGAGAGAGCTTTTCTCCACTGGTAATCATTTTCCAATTGCCAATTTTTTTTATTCTATGACAAAATGTTTTCTCTCTAATGTTTTTCTTTAGTTTCTAATAATATCATCAATTTATGTTATCACTGTCAAAATGTGTCCTCTCTGTAAGATTTTTTTTATTTCAAAATTATTTTTCCCCCTTTCAGAGCACTTTGTTCTTTAATTTAATACAAATATAACTCCTTATTAAATCGCCCAGATCAAAGTATATGGAGGTGTTAAATGGCCTAGTCAAAGTCTAGACTTTATTACAATTAAAATTCGTAAAAAAAACAACATATTTTTAAGAAAATCTTTGTAACAAGAATGGACAAATCTGACAGACACTAATTGTTCTCAGTTCCTATCTGTATACATTTTGAAAATGTTTCCACCCCACCATATTGAACTCTTTAGTGTTGGTCTATTGCATGAAATGCCATTAAAATACATTACATTTGGTGGTTAAGGTTGACGACATCTAACCTTCTGGCATGGCTCAGGGTCTTCATGTTAATGTTTGTGAGTGATAGATAATGAAATTAAAGCAGTCAGTTGGTTTCTAACCTGTTGTTTTTCCTGTTATCTGGCTGGTCTCTGTCGCTGTCAGCCAGATTGAGGGAAGCTAGCGAAACACTTGAGACAGAGAAGCCCCGAGGACGCACACCTGCAGGAGAGCAGCACACAGAAGCAGCAAAGATCAGCATGAGAAGCTGAGTAAAAGCAGGTTTTTATGACAGCACCTTGCGACTCATTCACCTGTCGTTCTGACAGGAGGAGTAGATGACTCCATCACGTCCCTGTGGATGGATTTAGGCCGCTGTTTTTTCTTGAGACTTCCACTACGAGGCTTGATGACTTCATCCATGTCCTCCATCAGTTTGAGCTGCCTCCTCCTTAGATATTCATTCTTGATGTAGTCCCTCCTTGCCTTCTCGTCATCCTTCTTAACTTGCTCCTCCTCTGCTTTCACTCTGCACAAGAACAAGTAAGTACTGAAGGATTGAACACAAAAGTTGAAAAGAAGACCAATCTAGAGCGAGAATTTGTGCTGATGCCGCGTGATGCAGCAAAGACACACCGTTCAGCTTCTTTCTTCTGCTCCTGTTCCAGCTCCTGCTGTTGCTTTTTCTGCTGAGTTTCCTTCTCCCTCCGAAGCCTCTTCTCCAATAGAGCTGCTTTCTTTGCTGCCATGTCCTCTTCTCCTTTCACATCATCCTGGTGAATATTTACAACATAAATAAAACATTTCTGTATATTTTTAATGTTTCTAAAGATTTAACACCCAAAAAAATATATTGAGAACACTTTAGCTTTAGCTAAAAAAAAAATCCCTTTTTAAGCATCATCAGGTTGTGTAAACAACAATCCCAAATGTTAGGGATATTGCTACTCAACACTACGAGATTGCCAATTCCGATCACATTCTTCAAATGTCACCTGCTTATTAAATTTGTGAGAGAGAGCAAGACTTAACACAGGTAACAGGAAGGCTGAACATCTCTGCTGGCGTCAGGGAGGCTAAATAATATTTCCACTGGCAACAACACTCAGATTCATGTCAATGCTTTAGTGTCTGCATGTTCTGCTCTGAAAGATTTTTTTTTACATTTTGAAAAGCAAATTTTCCTTTAAAAAGTCCGGAATTCAAGGGTATAACGCAATCCTTTTAGAGGTAATATGGATCCATGTAATGTTAATCTGAACTAAATCCAATAAACTCTCCGAAAACAGCGGTCTGTGTTGCAGATTGTTTTGGTCACAGAATATGATAGAAATGATTGACCCCAGCCCTGTTTATAAAAAATCCTTAGTAAACCATTTCAAAGCACAGAAGCAAACCATGGTCACTAACCCATCACTGCATTTTCTAATCATCTAGTTGGATGGACTTCACTTTATATCTTCATCTATAAAGCTTTACTCGGCAAACTTCCACTAATTCCACTAATTTCCACCGAATTGGGAAAATCTGCTCTCTCTTGCTCAGCCCCTTGGGGGATGAATGACCCACAGAAAGAGCTGAAGTTAGGAAACCTCAAGCTCATTAATACAATTAAAACTAATGCAAAGAACATTGTGATGGAGACGTGCTACTGTTTTTCTTTAAAATCTCATTGTGTGTTTTTTCTAACATTTTGTACCTATTTTATCATGAAAATGCAAATGTTTATTACCTCCACCATGGTTATGTTTTTAGGTGTGTTTGTGTTATTGTTTGTCCATCTGTCTGTGTACAGGATAACCTGAAACGCTATGAATGGATTTTAATTACATTTTTTGGCAAAGGTGAATCTCAATCCAAAGAAAAATAAAATTTTTGGTAAGATCTGGATCACCATCTGGATCCAGGAAGAGCACTCCCAGTGCTTTTCTATGTATGTATGAATCTGTTGTGATTTGGCTGCTACCTTGGTCAGATCTGTCTTGTAAAAGAGATTCTGAATCTCGTTGGACTTCCTGGTTAAATGAATAAAATAAAAAATGGAGCACTGATATCTCTTCTTGTCTGGGATGCCTTTGGATCCAACAAAATGAAGTAGAGAGGCAGAATAGACGATGGACAGATGAATGTTAAACCATCTGTTATTATACCCTAACTTCCACTTAGCTACATCATCATCAGAATGCATATGTTTGGTTTATCATGGCTATCTTGTTTTCCACTGGTTCCATTGTTCTTATTTAAGTCAGTATTCTTTATTATTTCGCTCTTTTATCTGTCCGAATCTCTCTTACCAGCACTGAGCCATGTTTATCAAATGAAATGAGTTGTTTCAGCTTGTTAGATTAGGAAGGACTCGCGCGGTGTGTTGACATCCATACGTTGCGTTCAATGGTGTCACGTAATTTAACGGGTTCCAACAGCATGCCAATCAGAACTGAGGAGATTTTAACGCAGGTCGCTTGCCGAGTCATTTGACCCGGGTAGACATACATCACTGAGCTGTTCCCACTGCCACTAAAAGCGGATTGTACCCAGGTTTTAACAGGTTTTTCGGCCAGTTGGAAAGGGGTATTATAAAGGTGAAAACTAGACAGGGAGTGGAAGTTGCAAAGCTGCAATGCCAAATTTACATTTCAGTCTTTCTAAAAAAGTGGTAGTTATTTGAAGTATGTGTTTCTTTAAATTTCAGTGGGTTTAACCTTGTAGCTAAAATCAGAAGATAAAAACAGCTAAAGACATATGGTTCACAAACACACAAAATTTTGTAGTACAGTAATTAGCTGGAACTTTCTAAGCCGTGTTTCACTCCTTTCTCACATAGTTATCTAGAGAGTGTAGAGGAGCGGTTCTAAATCCTGATCTCTAATGCTCCATCTGTTATAGGTGTCTCCTCACTGCCCCACACATGATCATGTGAAGGAACTAACAGGCTTTTGCAGCATCTGGTGGATATAATGAGGTTATGCAATCACTTTAATTGAGTGTGCTGCAACAGAGAGCCATCTATAACATACAGGACAGCAGTATTGAGGAGGAGGTTTGAGAACCAGTGATTTAGAACCCTCAGGACCAGCTCACCTTAAAGAAGAACCCACAGCACATCTTTTGGTCATCTCCAAATATTTCTCCTCCTTGTTCTCCATCCTCTGTGCTCTCCTGACCCTGGATGCCGGCTGGCTTTAGCCGAGAGAGCGGCACCTCCACCAGGTCCTTCCTTTCTTGGTGGTCATTTTGAGTCTGGCTAACATCTTCAACTTTGATCTCTGAAACCGGCTGGTGCAAAACCTCAGACATCTTTGAGTCTTCCTTAAACTCTGTCCTTTCTTTTATTTGTTTTTTGATCTTTTCTTTGGCTTCTTCATCCTTCCTCTTCTCTACGGTCTCCTCTGTTTGTTTAGGGTCCTCTTTGTTGTCTTTGGTGTCTGGGTCGTGTTTTTCCCTGGCCTCTTCATCCCGCCCAAGGTAGGCGAAAGAGCTCTGCTGGGTTTGGCTGGAGTTAAAGCGTCTCAGTCTGGGCAGACTGTCCACCGAGGTGGGAGTGTTGAGCATTCTGCTGATGGGGCTGACCTTCAGATCGTTTGGACGGGGAGTCCGAGGCGTTCTGGCATGAAATGAGGCAGGCCGTCGTTTGATGCCTGCAGGTGAACGGTTGGTTGGACGTGGAGACCCAGAAGAGGACAGAATCGGTGACAAGGATCCTACCGACCCTCGGCCCGATCCTCTGCCTGTCACACTGCTGCTGCGCAGCTCGCGGAGCTGCCTGTGTGAAAGACAAAGAAAGATGAAAATAACAGAAGGCTTGAATTTCAGTCAACCCTTTAGTGTATTTGAAGTGAGGAATACCTGTGTGGAGAGGGGGCAGGAGGCGGGATCACCCACGCCTGTTGCTGCTGGTCTCTCATGGCCATGATCTTCTCCTGCTGCTGGGCCAAACGCTGCATCTCTGTCTGCAGGAAGCCCAGCGACGTGTTCAGCCTTTCAATGGAACGTGTGTATTCTGCAAGGTCAACCTCTCCAGGGGTCATGCCTTATCAGCACAAACACAAACAAGTAAGATACAGAAACCAGCATCCATCACCATTTACAAAACCAAATCAGCTGAGCAAGCATTAGAGGCATGCTAAGGTTACCCACCCCCGCCGTCTTCACAGGGAGATTTCGGAGCTGCTCCGTCAGGCTTGCACCGTTCCACCTGCTCCACGTTACCCTCCTTTAAATTGATTGGCTCAGGTAAGGGTTTTTCTGCCCCTCCTGAGTTTGGGCTGAGTGGGGCTGTCACTCCTTTCCTTTTCACAACATTCAGGAAGGCTGTTCTGCCCATTTTCTGCCGGTGCCGGGTAAAAGCTGCTTCTACCTGGAAAGAATTGTAACAAAACGGCCATTAGATTTGAAAAGATTGATCAGATTTCTCTTATAAAGCAAGGCTGCTGACCTTCTTCTTTTGGGCTTCAATAGCTCTCCTTTTCTCTTCCAGCTTCATTCTAAGCTGAATCATCTCTGAGGCTATGAAGTGGGAGGGGTCTCTGGGTGAAGGCGTAGCTGGCGAAGGTGAAGTGATCGGCAGGGGAGGTGTAGAGAACTAAGGAAAACATGAGAAAATCTGAATGCCTACCCAACAGAAGGTGCAGGGGTAAAAAAAAAGCTTTTTCTTTTTTTTTTTGCCTCCTACAGATTTATTAAACATTTAAATTGTACAACTCATAACACTCTATTATCAGACCAAAGCAACGACATACAAAAATAAAAAAAATAGTAATAAAAATAACAGATTTTATCATATTTTAGCTGACTTTTGCAAACAATACCGGAGCAAAGTTGCTACCAGACATTTTTTAAATAAAGAAACTTAAATAAAACTCTTCTGACAACATAAAGTAGACTGAAACTAATCACTACCTGATCTACGGAAATGAAAAAGAACACATCACTGATATTAAAATTACCTTTCTATGTTAGTCACGTTATTTTATTGTGATAAAAGGTTCGATGGATTGAAATATGTAAATCTGACAAAAAACTAGATCAGAAGATGTATGCCATTGGGAAAACCATTGTTTTCCGCACTGAAAGTTCTGGAAAATATTTGTGATGAGAGACAAACCTGAGAGGACGTAGTTCCGGCTGAGCGAATGTAGGGCACATTGAGATCAGAGCTGTCTGGAGTCGTGGTTCCTCCGCTGCTCCTGCCTTCTAACTTCCTGAACTTCAGCTCTGCAAAGCTGGTCATTCGCACCAGACCCCCACCGGAACCACCGGATGAGGAGGCAGGACTGCAAGTATAAGACCTGGTGAGCATGGGTGCAGAACTGGGACATGGGCTGCCCCTGTCACCTCCATGTCCCCCTTCCCCTTCAGAGATGGCTTCCCTTCCTTTCTTGTGTCCTCCTTCCGTGTTCCTCTCATGCTTGCCAGGCAATGGACACGACCTCGCCATAGCCTCACAGTCCGGGTCAATATCTGAATAGTCTCTCAGAGACGAGGAGTCCTCATCCAAACTCTGGATGTCTTCTGTTCGCACATGGATGCCCGTGTCAACTTCATCCGTCGATGCAGAGTTGGGGTCTCGGTCATTTGCCCGAGCCTTCGCTGAATCCAGGTCCTCCCCAGGAGCATGAGCCCCCGGAGGGTACGAAGGCTCGGCCCCATGCAGAAAGAAGCCATTGTCTCCGTCTCCAACACCCAGGCTGGCGTGGGGCCTTTCTGTATCGTGGATGATCTTGAGGGCTTCTTCAATGCTTGGAGGAGTTGATGGGCTGATGTGGTCGGAGTGATTCCCTTGGCAGCTACTGGGGCTGCTGTTGTCTGGTAGGACTCCGTTGGGGTACCTAAAGAAAGATCCAGGAAAAATAGAAAATTAAACACAGGAAGAATGAATCTGGAAAAACAGAATTATTAGTGTTAGTGTTTTCTGCTGCCTTTAAATAACAAAAAGGATCCCTATATGTGTCTGAAGAAGGGTCAAATGTTTATCTTTGTGCCACAAGAGATTTTGTTAAATCAGTAGCTTTAAATCTCATGATAAATCCATGTTTAAGGCTCCTCATAATCTGCGATTGAGGCCTGTATTTAGTTTAACTTATTTTGTCCTGAAAATTACAGGCAAACTTTTCATCTTCTTCACGCGCAACTCTACTGGGAAAACCTGCATCCTGGGATTCACATGCAGGTTATTTTAACACTTGACACCTCACTAAACAGTTTTTCTTTTCTTTTTTTTTTTTTTTTTTACCAAATAGCAAAGGACATTGTAAAAGCAAATGAATGACTCAACCTCGGTTTATTCTTTTCTTCAAATGTCCCAAAAAAAAAAAAAAAAAAATAGTGCTTTGAATAACTTTTTAACCAATTAACAACTAAAACATCAAATCTTTCTACAGAGTGAGACCACCGCTGCTAAGTGGTTAAGAGCTACAAGTCAGAGAAGATGCAAAAAGCTGTTTTAAAGGAAACTACACTATCTTCTGAAACATGTCCACCATCCAAATCTTTATAAATAATTAACGGTTTCTTAGAGTGTGAAGTTTTCAGAAAACATGTTTAAAATGTTAATTGCAGCTGTAGACCTTTAAAGGGTCTAATCTGTAGAGGATTGGAAATCTATCATAGAACTTTAATAAGTCTACCTCTAATCATACGGTCACTGTTGTTACCATTCATGGTTTCTGTAGAAAGCACAGGATATTGAGAACATTGGGAGGTGATGAAAATACAGCCTATAAATGTCAGATCTAGAAACCCGTTCCTCATCTGCACCTGCTTTGGTTCTTGATAGAGAAAGTGTTTTTTCGTCCCAAGGGTTTGTGAGAAGCCAAGTCGTCCTCCTCTTCTGGGATCTGTCTGCCCTGTCCGTTAACGTCTGCCGGTGTCAGGGAGAGGTGGCGTTTCATGCCTCCTCGAGATGCATAATGAACTTTGAACCCCAGGCCGTCACTACTTGCTGAGCGGGTCATAGAGCGGGGAGAAGAAGCCTCATTTGGTGGCAATGTTGGTTCTCCATCCAGGGGGATCTCAAAGGAGATTCCCCGAGAGGAGGAGCTGAAGAATTAAGAGATAAGGTTTCAGTACAAGAGCAAGGAGACAGTCAGTTACGAAATGTAGATTCATGATGATAACACCTTCGTAGCATACTCACTGTTTTTCTTTGGGCCACGTCCCACCACAACCATCAACGTAGGACATGGAGGTAGATCTCTTTATTAGGCCTGTTAGACATAAAAGGACTTCCTCAGTTTTAGTATTTCTGAGAAATTACAAGATTACATAATGGGCAATGAAAAGCATTTTTGAGAAACAGAACAGGGAATATTCGGAACAGGGAATATTGCTGTTGGGCTTTAAGTGTATTTATGTTTCAGGCTGTAACTTTTAGAGCTTGATAACTATTTTTTTTTTTCATGCAGGAAGCTGTAAACAACCACTAGAGGGCATCTAGAAATTGAGCATTGATTACCGGTAGGTGAACTTCTATACTCAGACGCTAATGTTTGGTTGCTCTACAAGGGGAAACAATTCTTTAATTTGGCATTACATTCAACAGCAGTTGTTGTGTTGTTCTCACAGTAATATAAAGAACAACAAAATTCTTTGTACTTTTGCACATAAGGTTCTATATTATTCCTGCTCTTGTTCAGAGTTTAATAAGGTGCAAACCTCAGCAACACCAAAATTATCAGAAACAAACTTTATCATTATATTAATTGATTCTCACTTTTAGTTTCACATTTATTCCTTCCTTTTCCTCATGTCATTAGTTTGATGTATTAAATCAATAGTGTATCCCACAACCTAGTCATTTAAAAAGAAACTGCTGATTTCTAACTTTAGCAAAACATACATTTATATCAAACTGGCCAGTTTGGCTTAGATTTCTAACACCACTGATGTTTTTGCAAAGCAACTTTTCCAATAATATAAGCTGATGTTTGGAGTTTCCTGCTACTTTTCAGACAAATAAGCATTGTGGTGTCTCTGTAAGCATCCTTTCACCTTTCTTTAGTTTAAGAATTAACAGAGAAGAAGAGAAATACGACTTAACACATATGGCAGATCATAATCATTCCTACCTTCAGTGATGTGGTTCTCTGGACTTGAAGGTCTGTCTGCATAGTTCTGTTTGACAGGACTGGACACAGGAGGCATCTCTCTGCAGAATGATACAGGCTCACAGGCTGCATGGCAAAACAGGACAAATCCCTCACATTATAAAACAAATAGCATTGAGGACAAAAAAAAAAGAAGATACTTCTACTGTTTTCAAAATGCATGCATGGATATTACCGTTTGGGTCGAAGACTCTGGGCTGAACAAATGAAGGTTTCACAACCTCGAACCACCAGAAAAGCTCAGCCATGAACACCAGATAGTTACTCTGAAAGATCAGACATATCTTATCAGTTGCTCATCCTCTCTTCTGCATGAAGTCTATAAAAATGAAACCATCTCCAAGCATTTAGAAAATTTTGCTGAAGTATCTTTGCATAACGCACTGTGTGAGCTCTGTAATGTAAACCCCACATCTTTCATAAAATCTACAAAAACAACAAAAAATCTTCATGTTACAACATTAAATAGCATTGCATTTTACTAGGATTGGATGTCATAAGACAAATTCTTTTAGGTGCTATCTCAATGTATTCCCATGCAAACATATATGCAGTGAGTAGGTAGCTAACATCAAATCAAACAGATGCATCAGTTCATTAAGCAGCTCTCTAATATGATTCTGTCTGGGTTAAGTTTCATTATGGCAGTGTGAACCCAAATACTATCTTTCAATTCAGTGGGTAAAGCCATACAAAAGCACTAGTTAAGATTCTATGGACAGTGAGTTTGTGGTGAACAGGCAGAATGCCAGAGTCTTTAAAAGCCCCACATGACTCCCAGTTGTACCATACAAGCAGGATCCAGTCAATGCACAGACAGTGTAGTGAATGTGAAATGAGTACAGAAGAAGAAATGCAGAGCATTGCGTGTGTGAGGATGAAAAGCAGCTGCTGTGTTGCATCAAAGAAAGTTCCAGTCTGCTCAAACTGTGACTTGAATCTTGAATGTTTGTACTCATGCTGCCTGGCAGCATGGCACAGAGAGGCTCTTAGGAGTTTTCAGAAAATCTGAAAAAATGTGTAGAAGTGAGATCTCAAGATCTATGAACTTCAAATATTTTTTTTTTTTTTTGCAGGAAGAAAAGCATTACCAAGAGAGTTGGGTCAGAGCTCTGAATCTGTCCTCTGTCTACACAGTGAGTAGGATGAGGTCAACCAGCCAGACATGCACATTCAGGGCTAAACTTTTCCTTACATGACTCACTTATGCCTTTGTGTAATTACCCACCTAAAATTTCCTTCTACTCTCCCAACAAACACACATCTCCTTTCCTCAACTAACTCCTGCGTCATAAAAAGAGAGCTTTCCAGCCTCTTCCAGGCAGATTTATTTGAACATCAGGATTCTGGTTGTCATACCTTTATGGATGCATGGGTGTAGAGCATGTCCTCCAGGGTAAAGTGGCAGCAGTGATTGAGGTTGTTCCTGCAGAACTCCTGCACCAGCTGGAGGTTGTACAGACTGTCCGCCAGAGACATGGTCTCCTTAAGGCAAATGTCTGCTCAACCAGGGGAGGGGTCAGACACATAAACAAAGGGAGGGGGAGCAAATGGGAACAAGAAGACAAAAAGATAAGTTTCAGTTTATGGTAAAACATAAAATGAACAGAACAGTGGAAAACCGACATCCAGATCTAAAATGTCTCATCCCTTAAATATCAATCCTCCGTTGTGACATTATTTTGAACTCCCCTGTACTTATTTTATACACCATCTAGCTGAAGGCGAGAAACCTTAATAAAGCTGAGTTTGCTCTCACATCTGTTTCACACGTTTCCTGCCAAGCTAATCCAACCCAGGCAGTTTTCAGGGAATCAACACAGGAGCTGTTTATCTTTGAAACTGCATCCTGATAAGAAGCCCACCAACGGCTCTCTGTAACGTACAACTCATGACCAATCATGTCTCAGCCCGGGGCACTTTTAGAAAAGAGACAGGCTCAAAGGAAACACCTCTTTGTTTCCTCACCCTCTCCCTTTTTAAAGTCAGTCCTAGGTCACATCTATAGCGCTGAGTCATTCTATAGTCATTATCCCCACTGTGCTCTTCTATTAATATACAATAACAGCAGAAAATAAACAACAAGCAGGTCAAAAACGTCTGTTGACATCTAGCAGAATGGAGAAAACCTCGGAAAAGTACAACGACAGATGATAAATACTCTCTTTGTTTCAAATAGTCAAATGAAATGTATTGTGGTTGTCATAGGAACAGGAAGAAAGTGTCCATTGTGTCCTCTACATATAGAGGCTCTCTAAGGAGTACAAGCCCATGTTAAAATTCCAATTTAGTGATGCAAAAATCATTTCAAAATATATTTTGTACATGTATGTACAATGTCATATGTAGAAAAACAAGTTAAAGAAAAAAAAGGATTAATAGATAAAAAAATAGGGTGCAATAATCAGGCTGCATAAGTGTGTGGGCCCTTAAACTGCTTTGTTTAAAGAACCATTGCATTTATAAGCAAAAAATACAATGTCATGACAATATATATATAAACATGTATTCATTTTCTAGTCTTTTTTGACCCTAGATTGCACTGATTGAAGTTTAGATCGCTGCAGTCAAAACCCCATAAAGAAAGAGCAACAATGAACATGCTTTTGCAGGATATCAATTAAGATAAGCAATGATGTTTTATTACTTACCAGAGAATAACTGCATTAATTCATATTAAAAAATGATAGTTATATATTTTGCTTCTCCCATTAAATAATTGCTGTAAAAAAACAGGAAAAGGAACAATCCCAGTCATACATTTATTTTAACGTAATGTCATATATCATATAAACATCATGTCAAGCTTTTTTTTTTTTTTTTTTACAGCTTATCAGATTTACCATAACTGGCAACAGCTTTGAGTTTTGGAATGTTAACAAAAGGTCCTCAAAGTATTTTTTTCCTTATATCCTGTCCTAACATTTCAGGCATACTCTATCTAAACAGGTTCCCTACCTGTATCACAGTAGACTTGCTCTAGAAAAAGAACATTTTAAGACAAAATCCGAAATGCGATTGACAAAGTTGACCACATTGCTGTGATGACAATTGTTTGTGTGACCCCTATTTATTTGGAGTAGTTGTGAATGGACATGTAGGTGGGTGGATGTGTGGATATGATTAGGAGAGCATTTAAAAGTAAAAATAAGTGTTTGTTTATGTGTGCAAATTTGTGACCAGGCAGAAAATGCATCATCCCATACATCCACTGACAGAACTGAGATGGTCCAAAGGATGCAGGGCCCCATCCCTCCTAGTGAGCTCAGGATTCCCACCATATGTCGGCTCAGTCCACCTGGCCCACAGCTAGAACAACATCCCCTGGGAGCCACAGGTTGCCCTATGGGAAACTAACTGAAGAACAAACAGGGGTGTGGACCACCCGAGTGCAGCATAAAAGGCCAAATGGTTAAAGGTTACCCACTGTAAAATAGCAATTTATTTTTAATATATTTTCTTCCAATATTTATTTTTTATATCACTTGAGCTCAACTTGATATGTTATATAGAATCTGGTAAAAGCTCTAAAAATATAAATTTTAATATCCTACCTTTCATAAACCTGTAAGTTCAATAGGGTAATAGTCACAGTACCACCCACTCTTTTCTGTCCTGACATCCTTTGCTTCGTTCAGTGCATGCGGGTCAGGACACCCACCTTCCAGACGGACGGCCTGTGGGCAGTAGAAGTGCAGCAGGGCGGCGAGGGCACAGCCGTCTGTGTTATCCTTTAACAAGTTCTCCACCAGGGGGAGAGACGGAATATTCTTCTGGGCATGCTCTCTTCTGTACCGGGCCTGAAACCATGGCAACGGCACAGAAATATCAACTTCATGGAGAGTCACGGCAGATATGTACATGTTCTCTTTGTATTTTGGTACAAACAACCGCAGACACGCCTACTACTGCATGCACAAATTGATTAAACACACAAATCAAGGTGTTAATCTGGGTATTTTAAAGCATTCAGCTGAAGTAATGCAGATTACATTGAACATGCAAATAAAACATACACTTTAAGATTTCCTTTTGCTTCTAGAGCAGACCTCTAAGCATTTTAAATTTTTTCCCCCCTATAATTATTTTTTGTTCCCCTGTCTGAAAATAGTTTTTGAAACCATTTTAGCTCCTCTCAACCATTCTCGACACTAAGGCTGTCTAAGATTTGTGCACTGATTCAGTAGCAGACAGTACATGTGATTTAGCTTAATCTCTGTGCAAGCTTATTCTGTGTGCCTTCAGGATCTGTTATATGTTACTTTGCACGTGTAAAAACCACAGGGAAAACAACCACTGCTTGTGCTTTCGCAGGAACCAGCACCCCAAGGAAGCCAATAGAGGGATCCTCTCTTAAGGCTGCGTTTTGTAGCAAATCAGAAGTTTCAATCAGCAATACTCTCTGCCTAATAGCCAGCTACAGTATGACTCTGCACTGAGCTGCTGGAAACAAACTGTTGTGCTGCACCTTGTTCCATTGGGATCATATCTCTCTTAGTACTGCACATCCTTTTTTTTATATAACACAGTCTCAACTGTTTCAGATTTTAAACACAGGTTGCAAAAAATGCTTTATTTGCTGTTTTAAATTTTATCTAAGGAAGCTCTCCCTTTAAGTTTTAATAACAATTTTTGTATTGTATTCAACTTAATGTGAAACAGGTTGCAAGGGCAGGAGAGAGGTTGTAAAATAATGATGAAGCTCAGGGCTGCATGCAGGGATAAACAACAGGAGGGAGAAATGTGTAGGTTGGGGTTAAGGAGGTTCAGGACTGATGCTCGGGTTTGGGAGATCTGTTCCAGAATGGATGAACTTACAGGTACTAATCTCCAGTACCATTTGCTAGAAGACTTGATGGTGGATCATGATTGGATAAGAGGAGAAAATGGGATACATATTAGGCCAACAACAGAGGAAAAAAAAACAATAAAACAGCAGCGGCTGAAAGAGAGACACCAGCATCATCTCTTTACAAACCCAGAATCGTCAAAATTGTGTTAAGTGTGCAGGAACCCAGCTCTATTCCTCTTTCTATCTTACAAGCTTTCTGGAACTCTGTCGAAGAAAAGAATTCCCACAGCATGATGCTGCCACAACCATGTCTCATCATGGACACGGTGTTTTCTGGAAAGTTTAGGAAGGCCTCTTTGATCAATGCTCTGCATGTTAGTTTAGATGGATGCTCTTAGATGGGTTGGTACTTTGCAGTTTTCTCCTATTCCTTCTGTTTTAGATTGAAAAACACTATCAGATGTTTTAAAGTTGTTAGTATTGTTTTATATATTAGCCTGACAAAAAGACACTTTTTTAATTTCTTAGAAAATGCTTTAGCTCACTTTACTCTTGTTGTGCATCTTGTTAAAATTTAAGCTTGTTTTCTATATCATTAACGTTTTAACAAAAAATGACATGACGCCTAATGATTGTAATCTAGTTTAAGATAGAAGAGTGTTTTATTAAAACAGATCATTAAGGATTCAAATATTCTGTAATTTTTTTATTTAAAATTTCATTAATCCTCCAGGCAATGCTATATTCTCTGAACAGCTTTATTTTTAATATAAAGATGCAGTTAAAAGTTGACCTAAAATTGGAAGCGGTGGGTTTTCAGCTTGGTCGGCTACAGCTGAAGGGTTCAGAGACTCTTTCACCCCCAGGATGCAAAGACAACAACAGCCTTTGGTGCTAAAGTTGTTCTTTGGGACACTTACTAAGAAAGGCTGCCCTGTTGTTGTCTAAACTACAGAGCTGAGGTACTGATCTACATTTTCAGGGTAAAATAGATGATATTTAGTAATACTAACTAATGCTAACCGACAAACTTTCAGAAATAGTTAAAAATGTGCTTTATTGATTTAAAATGTCCATTCTTTATAACAGCAATCTAATTAGCTATTGTGCACAACAAATTTAGCCTTTGTTGATGTGGGCACTTACAGCAGAGCGAACACAGACCTCCTCCATATCCTCACAGAACTGAGGCAGTGCTTCATCATATGACCGTAGTTAAACAGGTTTCACACTTTCCCAGAATAGACGAGACTAACCGAGGAGCATCTTGTGCCGATCTGCTGGAGTGGGGATGTCGCTGATGCATTGATGTGTGTGCTTGTGAAATGATCTCCTCCCGCTGCGTTATAATGAGTGAATAGACTTCTGTTGAGCCTCACAGAACGAGCTGTGTGATGGAGCGTGCAGCATGAAAGCAGCTGACTGATGTCAAGAGTCTTTTTTTTTTTTCCAGGACTATTTTCTTCTTTTACATCTTTGACAAAGTTAGTCAGGATGAAACAAATCAAAAACACATGTACAGTTTAAGGTTTATTCCTCTACTGTAGCTAGACTATCATGTTACTCTGGGCGGAAGGGGGTTTGCCTCCCTTTAGAGGGAGGCATGACTCAGCTCCTTATAAGAGGCAGTCAGAGGGGCTCCTCAATGACAGAGACTCATTTTAACATGTAAACAGTTAAAATGATCAGTTATTTTGAGTTGTGATGACTAGCTTCTGACTGCGTTAACATCATAACATGCCAATTCTGCATGTGTTTGGACGCTTGGACTGAAATAGGCTTCCCCTCCTCCCCCTCCACTGTCTCCAGCTGATCCAACTACACCGGCTGCATCAGATCTTTTGTGTGGGCATCTTTTTATGCACTGTCTATTGTGGAAACCAGGATGACAGGTACGTAAAGGTAAAAGTCTGCTCTTCTCCAGTGACATCTGCGTTGGACGTCTGTAAGCGGATTAGCAGAGATTCGTTTAAGGTCTGGAAATGCCTTGGAAAGTGTAGCTTGAAGCTTCTATGGACGCTATCCCGGTACTTGGCCATATAAGTAGCTTCACCACTGAAAACCGACTTGATTTAGTAAACAGCGACATTAAGGCCACACTACTAAGGAATGTAGTTAAACTAGTAACAACACTGCATTTAACGCCACTTTGACCCAACACTGTAAAGAAGATGAGAAACACGGGGAAAAAACCCAAACAAATAATAATTACATCCTCTCCATAGAAAACTATCAGAACTAATAAACTGCCTGAATATTTGTACTCTGACAGAGATGCTGGTAGAATGCTGAAGCAAACTGATTTCCACACTTTTTACAATCCATTCACCTTGTTGAATCTTTAATTGAAAGAAAGTACAAATCTGTATCCACCAGAGTGCTGTGATTCCCTTTTATTTAAGCCTTTGCTTTCCATTTTCAACCTTCACCGTATTGTTTCCCTGTCATGGCCTATGGTCTGACCGAGCTCTGTGCTGTAGCTTCATGATGAGTGAGCAGAGGAGGATGGCAGCTGACTGCAGCATGTATGGGCCAGCAGATCGACTTGTTGTGTCACAGTGACATTACATAACCCCAGAGCTTGCAGCAATGCGCCTGGCTGTCACTGAGGCCCTTTGGCTACAGCTGCCATGCCTCCTACTCTCCTTCCCCCCCTCTACTCAGATAACCCCTCCTCACTTCTCGTCTGACTGTCACCCTGTGTCTCCTCCACTGCCCTGTGCAATGCTTTGTCTCCTCCAACAGCAATGGAGCAACTCTTGCCAAAGATTTTCTGCAGCTGGTGGCTGAGCTCATCTGTTCGTCTGATTTACAGAGCTCTTTACTCGCACTGAATGTGTCGAGGGGAGAGAGACACAGATGTGGCTCAGAATGAGAAACTAAAATCTACAAATATTAACTCACTACTAGAAAGTGATCAAGCTTGTTTCTGAAGATACATAGCGTCTTTGATATTTTATTTGGAGTAAATCTCTCACCTTATGCGTTGTGGCGTTTGTCTCTTGAAGGGAAGCTTCTCTAAACTTCTGCTCCTCAATGAGGACGTCCCTCAGATGTTCGTTCACCTTGAACAAGAGAAAGAAACAAACAGTAAGAGACATTCAGAGAGAGGAAGACACTCTTTCAGACAAGCACTGTGGCAGAATCAGGCTGAATCAGGATTCTGTAACAACCAGCTCATAGAAAAACTGATAATGACTTTATAGCAAATACAACAATCAAATGCAAAGATATATAAACTGATGTTTATTAATAATATCTTTTAAATCACAAGGATTAGCCTTTTATGCCAGCATGAAGGCATACACACAGAAAAAAATACATTCCTAACAATGATCTCTAAGGTTTACACACAGAAAAAAATCCTCATGACTTTAACATTTAATGCACGTGCTGCTTAAACATAACAAACACTTTGACATCAAGGATCACAACACGTTTATTCAATGCAGCCCAAACTTTGCATTACTAAATAGTGATGAAAAGCAAAACAGAACAGCTTTAAATCTCAGCAGGCCCTGACCATGTCAGTTTAAAATTATTTTCCACAATTAGGTGTTGCACCATAGTCTGCTGGGTTTAAAAAGAAACTGGAGAAATAACCAAAGATTTAAGAACTTATATGGGGCTAAAAAGGGCATGTGATCTTGCAATGCATTGTGGGCTGCAGCCATCATTGCCTTGGGGCAACAGCTTTTGTGTACTGCACTGATTTGGATGCTGTGCTTCAGGATCTGGAGACACAGAGTGCTTTGAAAATGGACCATAAAGAGAAAGGCAGTGAACTGTACCAAGACAAGCCAAGCCAGATTTGAAAGTTCACCATCTAGAAAAAAACTTATAGGGATCAGTGGAACTGATCCACTCAAGCATAGCTGGATAAAATCTTTTACAACACCAGAAATATACTTTATGTAGGTCGTAAGCAGTTATTACTACTGGGTAAAGTCTGTTTTCCCAGGTAGGTTAACAGTCTGGAGACTGGCACCATGATGGAGTCACTGGTAATATAAAACTATTTAGGTAATCAAATTTAGATTTCAGATGTCATAGTATTTTTGGTGTCACCATTAGCAATAGAAAGCAGCTAAATAATCTGTTAAAGATTAATAACAGAGATCCTAAAGACTCAACTATTCCAGTTCTTTATTTGCTTTTTCATTGCATTTTTAGCAAAGCAGAGAAGTTCCTAATCTTGGACTCTCTTAGGAAACACTCCACATTCCAGCTCCCTGACTGGAAATCAAGACACTGCTGTCATATCAGCTGAAGCAGACAGAAACAAACATCAGTGCATCAAATAAAAGGCAATGCAATGCATGGAATGCATGCAGTCTTAGGAAGCCCCTACCCTAAAGGTTTATATTTGCACACACAAACAGGCTCCTGCTCATACCTTGTTGATCCAGGTTGTGATTGCATCCTCCGTATCGTACGGCAGCCCCTGGACCAGTCCATCGCCGTGAAACCGTTCGGCAGACGAGTACTTGTTGATGCAGGACATCACCCTCTCCACGCTCACCATCTCCACGGTGTAGGCCATCATTAAGGTATCAATGAGCGCCAGATGGGAGGTCTGGACAGAAACACGGAAGCAAAGGTTTGTTAGTGAAAAACATGATTAACACAGATTTTCCTAAATCTAAAATGCTAAATCTGAAAATTAAAGTTTAAAGAGCCATAGAGTTCACATTCCTATAGAGTCACTGATATTATGAGAGTTATTTGAGCATCAAAACTGAGACAAAGGTTGACATTTTACTGGCCTTTCTTATCCCATTCCAGACCGGTTAGAACGACAGACCTCCCCTTCCCTTTCCTGCCACACAACAGCCCTTCAAAGCATTTATCCTACATATGTCAGCATGCATGAGTAAGCTGTAAGTGTGACACCTGCATACCGATCCATTAACAGTAAACCTCCACAAGGCAGACAAATTAGGTCAAAATGATTCAGTTATTTCTAAAAAAAAATAAAATTAAAACACCAAATAACATCCCTACATTAAGAAAATCAGCTCAGAAAAATCATTTTGCAAAAAAAATGTCTCAACCTTTTCCTTAACATGCAAAACTTTGTTAAAAATCATTTAAGTTAATTAAACAACATCCATATTTGTTGCTTCAGCTTTAATGAACTAACTTTAGTTTCTAAATGCTAATCATGGATTAGACTTTAATGTGTGAATAATTATTTTTAAGAAACACATCTAAAGGGGTCTAGTATTTTTTTCACTTGCCTGTATATAGTTGGACTGCATGAAATACAAAAACAAAGAGTAGCATGATTTTTGGTATTAGCTAAAACTTATTACATAAACTGTTCTGTTTAGACTTCATGCAGTTTCAGGATATTATCAGATACTTCACATTGCATGCATTCTGCACTTGGCTGATGTCTGCTGTGCTGATGGATTGAAATTGCCTCATGGACAGAAAAGGAGAGACGAGCAAAGCAGCTTAGACGGGAACTGGAGATCTGGAAAATTGCAATTTCCTTAAGACCAAATTGAGCTTTCCCTGAAGAATAAAGCATTTCTTAACTCATTTGCATAAAATCCCCCAATCTTCCATACCGTTAAGAGGCTTGCATCGCACACAGGAGAACTGGAAGGAGAAATCCTGAGATTTTCAACGAAAATGACAAGCTATGTGAATGAACTCCTTCTGCTGCTGGGAAATTATCTTTTTTTTATGTTTGATTTTTATATTTTTATGTTACATTTTTTTAAGTGAAGTTAATCTTAATTATTAGACATAAAATATTTAGAATCCAACCGACTTAAATTGTGACTGAGGTGATTTTTTTTGTTTACAGGTTTTTTTTATATATTAAAAGGTGTACAAACTTTTATTGATAGAATATCTGTTCTATAATCAATTAACTTAGTAGTTCACAGTCATTAATGTTATTTTTACTTCATTTTATAAATATAAAATGAGGAATTAGACAATAAAATGTTATCTAAAAAAGATCATATATAGTTATTTGACTTTATATGTATAACTAAATATAGATCGAAGTAATTACATTTATTTTTAGGAAGGGGGGTCAAGCGGATTTATTGAGTTTTCTAATGATCCTGCCAAAAACACAGAACTGCAGCACCCTTGTGTCCGTTCTTGCAGCTTGCATATCATGTGATGTTTTTTTTGTTTTTTTTTTTTACTTTATGGGGTCAGAGTTGAGCTGGATGCTGGTGGCTTCTAAGTATCCACAAAATCCATCTTGAATATAAGGTCCCATTTAACATCAGCTGTACCTGAATCTCTGCCATAATCACTATATAGGACACTATATTATGGTTAGATGAGTGTCCGAAATTTCCCAAAATGCTTGAAACTTGAAACTTGAAAAGTAGTTATCATCCATGGTCACTAGACGAGCAGATATATCCCAGAATGCTTTGCGAGGAGAGCTTTCTAAATAGGTGACAGGCCAGAATAAGGGATAAGAAAAAGGACAGACAGACATTAGCTAGAAATTTTAATATTCTCTTGCAAAACTGATGCTACATCTGTTGAACTGTTCCACATTTCCTGATTTTACAGCATAAATAAGAATGTTTCTCCCAAAACATTTCCAAAACAGGTCATTTTAGGTAGATAGGTTTGCAGTTGTGAAATCCCCTTTTCATGTTTGAATGACAGATTGTACTGTACTGTGTTAGATGTTAAAAGCTCAATATATTTGTTTTAAAACTTCATTCAGCTTTAAATGTCTCTACAGCAGGAAAGAAGACACCAGTGTTGACTCTAAGGCATAGATTTAAAAGCCATGTGCTGCCTATTATGCCTTGACAAAGACTTTTATGGTGTGTGTGGGGTGGGTGTGTGTCTGTTTGAGTGAAGCAGTGAGTCTAAAAGTCTCACAGTGACAGACACGCCTTTTAAGGCGATTGGAGATGGCAGACCATAGTAACAAAGAGTGGTAAGAAGCTGCAGCATGCTCATGCAAACCATCAGTATTCTTCCACCACCGTTGCATGGCTGCTAGGGTGTGCACATGTGTGTCCTTCATCAAAGGCATCCATAGCAGAGCTAAATACACCTGAACAAACATAATCAAACCAACCAATTGTCCACAAACATAGAAAAGTATCCATTCAGAGTCACAGACAAGTGGTTTTACAGCACAGCTTCACATCTGTGCATCTGCTCCTTCCCTTCCCATTTTTTTTCCCTTCACCTTCATTCACTAAATGAAGGTGAAGCATTACCCATAATGCACGCCTACTCCTGCAGGCTTTCACTTTCCACACCCCCTCTGCCTCATCACTCATTTCAGCCTTACAGTAGCAAACATGCAGGGAACACAGATACTTCATTAAGAAATTAGAAGTTTTGTAGAAAAGGACCTGATAAACCTTGTGCAGATAGCTGGAGATGGCTGTGCTTCTGGTACAGAGGGTATCATTTGTGCACCAGATGAGCTTTGACTCGGTGTGAGACCCCACCCTCTACTTTGCACCACTTTCTAGTGCACATCACGCCTTCCTTATCCTCCTAGCCAGTTCCACAATCCTCCTCCTTTGTCTTGCTCCTTTTTCCCCTCCTCTCGCTTCCTTCCAGATTGATACATTAAAAGTTGGTCTGTTCCACTCATTTTCTCTCTTTTTTCCTCCCACCAGTTTCATATCTCTTCTTATGTCCTCCAACGTCTTCACCCTTTTCTCCCGCCTTACTTTCCTGCTTCCTCCTGGATCACACCCAAATGGCTGCCCTTAAACTCCCCCTCTTCCTCCTTATTCATCCCCCCTCTGACTGAATGCCATACTCCTCCTTCTCCTCCTCCTCCCTGACATGAGTTATTCCTCTGGCACACAGTATTTGGAAAACCATGAGGTCATCATTTTCTCTCCAGATATGCACCGTAACCCGAACAGAAAAGCCCCCACTTGTGCATCACTGAAAGGTTCCTGCTGACTCCACAAAAATACACTTTTTAAATTCTTTAATAAGCAGAGACGAAGAAAGATTAACAAATACCTCTATAAAAAAGATCAATGTGTTTGAGAGGAAAATTAGAAACCGGCAAAATGCATCTAGTTAATGTAGTCACTAAATCTGGAACTATAAACCACACAGGAGGTGTGACTGAACAAATCATTTCCTCCTTCATGCTTCTCTTTGTGGCTTTCTGGATCAATAAGCAATCAAACCTGAACATAAAAATGTCCTAAACATGTTAACGCTAAATTTATTTCAAGTGTAAGCGGTGAAAAAATTGAGAGCAGGAGTGCAGAGCCAATAAAATGCAGCAATAAAGGGTATTTAGAAAAGACAGGTGGTATATATATATATATATATATATATATATATATATATATATATATATATATATATATATATATATATAATTCCCCAATTTTCAGCAAAACACATTATAAATGTAATAAATGTATCATTCTACTCATATATTGTGATTTTCGGCTGCCGGATATGATATCGATCTTTCAATTCCTAGTATCTATTTAAAAAAAGATAACATTTTAACCCAAAACAACGAAAGAAAATAAGCCACCTCTGCACCGCCACTCTGCTAGATGGCACCGTGGAGCCGTTTTGCTGTGCGGCGCAGCGCCATATCTGTAGTTCAGGCAGTCACAGTAGAAGACATAGGCCGTTTCTCAATTCACAAAACGCGTAAACGAGTATTAACTTCTGTTCTCGCCAAGCACATCCTTGACAAGAACACAGGAAAGCTTGGACTTTGGGAGAATAGGAGCATGTAGATTAAATCTGGGTCAATTGGAATAGAAACACATTTGTGACATCACCACATTCAAAGCTAGTCTGGAACTGCGTTTCACCTCCTGTTATTAATAGTCTCTAGATAATTATAAATTCCAACTTTTTTCATTTTGTGGGGGGATAATGATTAACACAGTCAGATAACAACAAATCAAATGATTGATTTGCCAAAAAAAAAAAAAAATCAGGTATGCTGAGAGAGGGCTGCGGCAGACGGGCCATTAGCCTTGGCTGCGGTTCGACTCAGTGGTTTGCTGGTTGCCACGGTCCTCTCAACATGGGAAAGATTTTAATCAGTAAACGGGCCATATAGTGAAGCTTAAAAGTAAAATGTTCTTGCCTCAAATGATCTTAAAATGCTTTATATAACAACGGCAACAGAAAAGGTGAACTTTTAACTTAATACTCTGAGCTATGTGAGAGCTAACCTTGAACATCACCCCTAACAAAAAGTCTGCCAACCTTTTATGATTGCACTGTGACGCTAGAATTTAATTTATGGATTTGAATATTGCTGTGTTTCTGGATTTTTTTGTGTCTAAAAGTGCGGCCTCATGTCGTCATGGGGCTGCCTTTAGCTTAGCCCCGCCCCCTGCTGGCCCAGCGGTATACCAACAAACTGTGAAGCTGTTTCTGCATTGTTGCCAACTCAGTGCCTTTATCTAGTGCCTTTTCAGACCCTGTCTGGTGGCTGTTTATCAAAAAAGTGACAAATTAGCTGCTTTTTTCCTGTCTCCTTGAGGACTTCGATAGCACATGCACTGCTATGAGCCCCTCCATTCTGAAAAACGCAGGGACTCAGACGCAGCAGCTGCAGCCACTGTCTGCAGTCAGAAAGCAGAGCAACTCTTCTGTGTTTCCACATTCAACATGAGTCACACATACGCAAACATTCCACGAATCTCCCATGAATTAAAAATTACAATGTAAATAGAATAGTTGGTTTTTTTCCTCATTAAAGCTGTTGCATTGAAATACAACAGCGCTTGGATGCAGTTGACTTTTTTTTCCAGTACTTTTGAGCTCTAATTTTATATGCTCAGCTGTTCAGATGCATGATTAATAAAAACATATTTCTGTGGTGTGACAAACTGAGAACACACATTTATTTCTACTTTACAGGTAAGGTAAGGAAACCTGTGGGAGCAAAGGTAAAAACGTCACAGACTGTGAGGGCAGGGAAGAAGAAAGACTGAGTGCACTGTGCTGCAGACCCCTCTTGGCAAGAGCAGAAACGCCCCGTCTCCATCCATGCGTGCCATCGCCGCGTCGCTGAAATATCAGATTAATTCACCTTGACCTCCCCTAACATCTTCTTTATCAGGTCAGATGATTATATTCGAGCTTAGACACAAATGGCCTCTTAAAGGGTTTAAATAGTCAGAAAGAAATGAATGGGGGTCAGAATACTCCAAACTCATACTAGAGTTTAACCACCCATGAACAACATCGCATATAGGACTGATTGGATGCAGTTATTGGTAAATTATCACATTTCATTCCCTAATGCATTTCATTGCATGGCCTCTAAGTAACATTTAGAGGCTATAAAATGGAGTTTAGTGGATAAGATGCAAAAACTCCCTGCAGTGAGAACTTCTCAAAATATGATTGTGGTTTGAGCACAGGAAGGTATGTCCTAAGCTGTCTGATGATGCATGTAATGAAACATGTTTTCACAGAAAATAATCTGCCCGCCATATGAATAATTTTGAGTCTAAATATAAGTATCGTACATGCAATATATTATGCAACAGGCTTACTAAAGAGGTGAACTCACAGTCAAAGGTGCAACAACTATATAGTGATTAAAAACCTAAAGTGACTCAAATCAGCCAATTAGTTGAGGCTGCTAATGAATCTCCTCAGGTACTACAGCTTCCTCCTACAGTCCATACACAAATAATCGCCTCGTCTAGTCCTGCATTTCAGGGCTTCTCTCATTGGTTTGCCAAGTCACCTTCTGGATGAAAAGGTTTTGTTTTATCCTCTGCCTATTGACTGGCTTCAATAAACTATGCTTTCGTGATATTTACAGTTTTTACACCTCCGTTTGGCAAACGGAACCAAGTTGTGAATAAATCACTTATATTTTACATGAAATCTCCATGGTTACCAAATATGAACATTTAAGGTGTGGAAAAGTTTCACGTAGAAGATAAGAATAAAAAAAAAAGAGATTTCAATTTAACAAAGGAGCAAAGTGAAGTCTTGTTTTGCTAACCTACTTTGCCCCCGAATATATCCATCCCTACTCCTCTACTCACCATGTGTATGGGCGTGCTGGTCAGGTCTCTCTCAGTGACCAGTCTGTCCTGGTCAGTGACATACAGCCCCTTCTGGGCCAGGGCTTGGATGACGGCATTGTGTCCCAGTAAAGGTTTGACAGCATCGCTGCGGAGGATAAGGCTTCCTGCACGGCAGTACAGCTCTGCAGACTGAAGCAGGCAGGCGACCGGAGGCTTCAGGTGTTCCTGATTGTATTGGTCCTTGTAGAAAGGCTCAACCAGCTCCTCTGGAACAGCATCTAAAGAGAGAGAGTTAAAACAGAAAGGAGTTTAAAAAGATAACACTATATTTTGCAGCTTTTATCTCAACCCACTCATCAGTCCAATTAAGGTTTGGAGTATAGGTTTCTTATATGTCTAGAGCAAAAAATTTTACCATCTAAGATGACTGCAATTAAATACCAAAAAGTACCAATCTGTTTATTAAAGAATCGGTTCAGTATAGCATATTCCAGTCTTTTAGATGTTATGCTAATGATCATTAAACACAGTCTAGATTAATTAACCACTTAAGCCCTGAGAGTCTTAGGAGCAAATTCCGCCTGAAATTACAGATGTGAATTAAAGCAAGTACAGCTTCCAAATTATTAATCGGAAATACAATTGTTTTTATTTGTATGAAAAAAGGCATTAAGGAATACTTTTCAGGTGGAACCACTATTTTAAATGTCAACATGTCTGATTTATAGGTGATTAAACAAAGAAAAAATTAAAAATATTTAGCCTCGCCAATTTTTTTCCAAAATAAACACTGCAAAACACCGTGAAACCCCATTTCAAACTCTGGATGAACCCTCAGATTTTACACATCCACATATTGACTATAACTCAAGCACATTTGAACTGAATAAGATGAAATTTAAAGCCCCATTTAAAAGGTGTGTGGATGAAACACCATGTGATTGTGTTTTGGCCATTTCTATAAATAGATAAATATTAGCAGGTGTCAGATGGTTCCGGTACCGGGCCCGCCGGGCTCAAAGGGTTAAAAAACAAACACATTAAAACATAAAAAAAGGGGAACATTAAAATAAAAAACACCAGAGGCCTCATCTTACACATCAACTTCCGTGTCATTAATAGCTCAACTGTGTGGCCACGTTTTCTTAAAGCTAAGGTTTATTCTTTAGTGCCAGAATTCTTTCAGCTATTCTGACATGAAAGGCAAGTTTAATCATCTGGATTCTAATTAGCTTTTTTCTTTTATCAGCCCATATGTGCATACACTGACCAATTCCCTTGGGGTGACTCGTGTAATTGCACATTTCGAACTAGCATCTATTAATAGCAATTTTGATTTCGCTGCAGAATAACAAGCTAAAATTTAAATTATAGCTATTTTGTTTGTTTAAATTGAGACTTGTGTAACATTTTTCATTATTGTGTGAACATGTGAACGGAAAAAGAAATATTGTCTCTAAGAATCGGCCAAAACACGTTGGCAGCAGATGTTTTAGACTGATGTCAAAACAACTGGTACCACCATCGGCCTTTAAAAACCTGTATTGGTCAGTTTCTAGGTCATCTAACACACTGTAATGCTAAGGGTTGCATTAAAGGGAGTAGAGGTGGTAGGCCTCTGTTTGGCGCTCATAGTAATTCTAATTTTAAACCATAGATGTTGCTGCAGATGTTGCTGCCTCTAATTAATGGCAGTAAGGACAGGAAGAACCCAAGCTTTAAAGTTTGACCTTCTAAAAGTATTGCTTGTTAAGAGTTTTTTTTTTTGGACATTTTTCTCATTCTTTATCTCACATGCTGCACAGGCAACTTTTTTGACAGGGCAGGTGATCTTTCTGCTGCTGGATGGATGTTATCTATGAGATCACAGACAACAGCTGTTAACTACAGTTGACAGAAATTTTATTAGGACTCTTGATGATTGGACATAGATTAAAGTTAGAAAAAAAAACTGTTTCTGTTTTTAGTAACTACTCCAAAGGCTGTGCCACCCTGGATTGAGAGCCACATGCCATGTATGAAATAGTTCATCTAGCCTGTCTAGACTTGAAAACACAATCACTGATGACCATCTAGTTTGGTTTCCAATTAGAGAAGGAATGGTGAATGGCTATATAAGGTAAAAATTTACTTTTTAAAGATTTTTTCTTTTCCAAATCTGGAGAATAAATTTGTCCCACGTTAGTAGTCTCCACAGGATTACAAGAACACCCTACAACTCCGTCACTCCTCTATAGTTTTTTTCTTCCTTCGTGACATCAAGTTGTTTTTAACCACAAGCTGTGACTCAGACCTCAGCGATACTCCTCATAAATAGCCTCCTGTAAGCCTTCCCTTCTTCCCCCGTTAGAGCCACTTTCAGACAACGATCCTGTGTAGGAATGTCGACGTGTGAGTGTGCGGTGACACACTTTGCTCCTGTTTGTATCCCTGGTGTGTGGAGGTCATTTCCTCTCTGCCTGTCTCCGAAGAACGCCGTGGAAAACAAAGAGCATGAAAAGATTCCAGCTACAGTGTTTCCCCTTCATAACAAGCCTGGAGCAGAATCATATAGCTTGAATAAACGGCTTCAGAAGACAAAACGGAAAAAGAAAATGTAACGGTCTGTTCAGAAAAACAAGTCTAACATCCATTCAGCTTGTGACCAGCCCTCTGCAGTTTTCCAGAAGCTGTGGTTACAGCAGCCTCCCCATGTAGCCACACTGGGTGATGAAAGGAGATATTTAAAGCAACATGCAGATGTTCCACCTCTTGAATGAGAACTTCTTCATCACAACTGTTTAACTGCTCCAACCTGTAACCATGTCTACGCATTAGAGCAAATTAGCAAAGCTTTACTCAAAGAACCGTGATGATTTGTTGATTAGGGGGAGGTTGTTGTCAGCTGACTCTGTATACTGAAATGTTCAATCAGCTCTAGAAAACAGCAGCTCCTGCTTCACACAACAGCTCATAGAAGAGTTAAGGGAAAATGACTTGAAACACAATCACAACCTTTTTTTTTCTTTCTAAAGTTCATCAAAAATCTGCCTCATAGAGCATTTTTTTGTCGGCCATCAAACAGGAAGCAGACAGGAAGTAGCTGCCACGGGAAGTCCAGGCATGGAGAAGACTGCTCCTTTTGGAGACCCCTGGGAACAAGCTAATAGTCTACTGTGCTTATCTCTGCTGGATCCCTGTAGTTTGTTATTTTTTAATGCAAACAATGAGATTAAAAGGTTAGTTGTAGCTTAAACAACCAAGATCCTCATTAGATAAATCCCATTTAAACCCATTATTACTGACAGAGGGTGGAACACAGGGAGAAAGTCTAAAATAAATCTTTTTTTTCATAAAAAAAACATCAATAAAACCAAAAATAGATTTGACACCAGAGCAAAATTGCATAAACTGCAACATTAAATATGACTGGGATCTTTAACTGCCTAATATTATTAAGAGATTCACACAATCCCCCTCTGCAAACGTAACATGCCGTATGACTGTTATTAAAAGACTGTGAAGTTAAGGCCCTTAAGGCAGAGCTGTATTAAAAACAAGAGTCTGCAGCGGAAATCTCTTCATGGATCCAGCAACATAGTTTTCTGACTGTCACTGACACAAATACAAGCTTAATAACAACAACAACAACCAATCAATCCAATCCCTACCTTCTGCTGTTGCAAAAGAAATAAAGAACAATCCTTAAATTGAACATGCAAAAATTACAATTTGCTAGAGCATTAGACATCAGATCATAAGTGGTAATGGAATTTACGTACATATCATATGTGAGAAAGGCGTCCTGCACATCTTAAAAGACAGAGATGTTTTGAAAACTCTTTGGAACAAAGAAAAGTTATGCATTTTGGGTTAAAGGTATGTTTTGGAGACAATCTGAACCAAACCTGTTTTTACATACTTTTCCCATTTTCCAGATGGGTATTTTCTTGCTTTAAAAGCAACTGAGGCTGCCTAATTAACAAGAACATAAACCAATAAGAGGAAAAATGGAAACTCCAAGAAACAAAAATGGAAACAAAAACCAGGAAATAATCATATTAGATATCTTTTTCAGCCACCTGAAATGCAGCTTATCATCTAAGTGAGGTGGAAGGGGCCATTTAGAAACTATGTTGCCTCCCTCTCTACTTTTGGGATGGTATGTACTAACAGAAACTCCTAACAGACCGGAAAGAGTAAAGAAGGATGTGGAATTGTGTTGTGTGATTTGAATTACCCACTGCTGATACACATACTTTCATCAACTCGGTTACACACAATGCAAATAACAAACCTGAGAGGTTTATCAACCGGTGTTTGGTCTACAACACTTAAGCAGGCAGCTTTATCCATGGCATACCTTCTACTTATATATACTGATAAGGTAAAAATAACTTAGTTTGTGACTCTAGTCTAGAATTAGCTTTTTCTTTAACCAAATATGGATCAATAATTAAACAAAAGAGACCCTTAACAATAGAACTGTGGCCCTTAGCCATTTTGGATCCATTTCTCTCCTTGTTAACAACCGATTTAAGGCAAAACAACAAACAGCAGCAGCAAATCTTGAGAGGCTAACATAGTTTTTAGGAATCAATAATAAAAAAAAATCATATCAGACTAGATGGTTTCTCATTTTACAGCTTCTTATTTTTACTAAAATGTGCTAGTAAATCAGTCAACCACATGGCAGCAAGGCATTGCAATTGGGTCTTCAATTAAAAAATACTTAACTGATCCAAAAGGGAAATTAATGCTGAGACTGTTAAAGGAGTTTCTTCAACCAGCTGCATAGATTTTAATGGCAGCAGGAAGGATCTCTTATATACTCTATCTAAACTTGCTTAAGTTTGCATTGAGCAACATAGCAGCAAAAAGAAACAATAAAAGTAAAGATAATATGCAAAAAAATAGTCCAGTGAGAAGCAGTTTGGTTGAGATAAAAAGCCATGATCTCAGAGGTCAGAGGACAATGAGCAGGAAGGCAACAGTAGGTCAAAGAAGTATTGCAACCAGCAGATGAAATAGAGCTCATTTAGCTAATGTTAGGAGGGTATGTTATGTTCAGTCAGTAAATCTGCAGCCACTGCATAATCCTGTAACGCCAACATGGTCCAAAATCTCTGAGGGAGGATTGTGATGAATTGTTGGGTCTTTGCTATAAGGAGTCAAGAAATTTATTGAGCTAATTAGGGGGGACAATCTGGCACTGATAAAGTGGCCATTGGATTTATAATTTAAAAGATCTTTTCTACTCATTTTAGTGACATTTGAAGGCGCATCATAAACTCCAAATAAACTGTTCCATGGCTTTGTTGCTGAACTTATTCAAGATAATCACTGCAAATGCATTCAAATGTTCAGAGTTTTCCAACTTAAGTCCAACATCAAAACAAGGAAAATAAATCAATGTTTCATTTGAGTCATGTCCTGAATGGCCAGTCAGTATGAACATAAGCCAGACAACAGGCTGACAGCAGCAACAGGCTCACATTTAATTTACAAGAAACAGATTATATTTGCAGAGAATACTATGCAACGCTTAAATTCACATTCAAGTTACATTTAAATGATAAATGTAGTAGAAATACTTTTATAAAAGACAAATTCAGAAGTTTTTGTTTTTTCTTTAACCTTGAAAGATTTTACATTTCAAGTTTTGGATCTACTTCTTTTATTTATTGTTTTACAACTGATCTAAATTATTCTCATGATAAATAAATTTGCAACCATCCATCCATTTGCTGTCACGCTTTATCCCAGCTGGGAGTGGTGCTGGTGCCTTTCTCCAGCTGTCTACAGGTGAGAGGCGGGGTCCACCCTGGACAGGTCGCCAGTCTATCGTAGGACAACAAAGAGACAAACAGGACAAACAACCATTCACACACTCACACCTAAGAAGAATTTAGGAAAGCCAATTAACCTAACAGTCATGTTTTTGTACTGTGGGAGGAAGCCGGAGTACCCAGAGAGAACCCACGTATGCACAGGGACAACATGCAAACTCCATGCAGAAAGACCCCGGGCCGGGAATCAAACCTGAAACCTTCTTGCTGCAAGGCGACAGTGCTACCCACTGCGTCATTGAGCAGGCCTAAATTTCCAACCTACTGTAGCAATGAACAAGTCCTCCAGGATCAAGATGGGATTGTTATAACTCCAGAAAACCAGATTCATGTGAAAATCTACCTCTCTGAGTTTCTGAGGTTGTAGGAAAACTGTTGCTTCCAGCCAGGGACAGATTCTACCCGCAGCTCGCCGGGTCTATCTGGGCCAAACAGGACTCTAAGGACTGCTCATGAATTGGGCCACAGTTCTCGGTGGTACTAGGAGCTGAAACTGTGTCATTGGAGGGCCAAGACAAAAAAAACAGGGCAGCAGCAAAATGCTTGCAGCCACAATACACGCTTGGTTACTTGTATCTCTTGGAAAAATTAGTGGCTCTATGTGATCTGACCCAAAGATTGTTCTCAGGCAGCATCTTTCTGTTCTTTTTGTATTTGATCCTTTGATCAAGATTTTTTTCATCTTACATCCCATGCTTCATCAATATTATTTGTCAGTACATTCGTTAGCAGCAACTCTAGCCAATAATACATCCAAGTTGAAGTGTATGAATCATTACTTCTGAGATTTTGCATGCTAAACTCAAAGAAACACCAACAGGTTTAGCACTGATGTTGTGTTCTACCACATGTTTTTTCACTTTAATGATTCAAATTTTGTATGTTGTTATATTCTCCTTTATATTGCTGAAAACCTTTGCCATAATGCGTTAATTTTCTGAGGCCTGTCTCGTTTATGTAATAGTGTCCATAAGAGTGTTTTTATTTCATTATAAGTGAACCATTCTGTTTCTTTTCTTGGAGATCAATTAATTAGATTAATTAGAGCCGTTAGTGGACAAACAGAATCATGATGACAACCCCCCCACCCCCTAAAAAATAGATATGTTCGGAAAAAAGTTGTGGAGAGGTTTGATGGGGAATATCATTAGTTTTAAACATCTCCCATAGCAGCATTCATTCCTTCATCCAAACAATATCAGTCAGGTAGCAATGCCGCACAATAATGTTGGATGTCCACCTAAACTGACAGACTTGGTAAGGGGTGTACAGCCAGAGAGGCAGGAGAGAGGGTTGTTGTATCCTGCCGGAGCTGCTGAAACTGACAGCTCTAGTGGAAGAATCTGTTGACAGGACATCAGACCTCAACTTAATAAAATAGCTCAGGAAGGGCTGCAAGAGAACAGTTCACATTGAAACAAAGTTATGAAAAGCAAAATTTGCTTTTCCATATTGCTACTGGGGCAAAATTCAAAATACGATGCAGTAAAATTAGGCAAGCACTCAAGGTAGGAGCTTGATTCTGGGCTAGAAGGTAAAAAACAATCAAAAAGCAAAGCTTGGGCACCTTCAGAGTAACACCACCAAGCCACTGGTTTAGATATGTGAAAAAAACACAATTGTCAAAATCCAGCAAAACGAAGAGGAAGCTTTTACAAGACACATCAACTTGGTTGACCACAACATCAACAGAGAGGATGCCATCGACAACAAGCAACCTTTTTTGGATTGTTTGGTGAGCATGGAAGGAGAGGAGAAACCTCAACACTGAAGTGTGTAGGAAATGCACTCACACAGACCAATATCTTCTTTTTGACTTACACCACTGGAACACAAACTTTCAGTCATTAGAACCTTACAACACCGGGCCGAGCATCTCCCTATTAAAACAGAGGTGAAGCACAAAGAACAGAAACACATCAAAGATACTCTTTTAACTCTTTTTGTAGATACCCAAACTGGATGTTTTTTCAAATCAGTAAGGAAATCTAAAAGACTTGCAGCAGACCATAACAGTGAGAAGATTAAACTCAAAATCATCACCATCCCATATGTTGCTGGAGTCTCTGAAAAATTCAAGAGGATTTTCTCCAAACACAAGATCCCAGTACATTTCAAACCAAAAAAAAAACCCTTAAACAGACTCTAGTGCATCCTAAAGACTAAACTCCCAAACCTAAGATGAGTGAAGTGGGAATGCTCTGATCTTTACATTGGAGAAACCAAACAACCTCTCCACAGACGCATGGCCCAACACAGGAGATCTACCTCTTCCAGACAAGACTCTGCTGTCCACCTAATCCTTAAGGACAAATGACATTTGTTTGAGGACCAGAATGTTCAAATTTTGGACAAAGATGACAGGTGGTTTTAAAGGGGTGTGAAGGAAGCCATTTATGTTAAGAGAGAAAAACAAATCTTAAACAGAGGGGAAAGACTCAGGTTTCAGCTCTCAAAAACCTATAATACAGCGGTAGAATTGATTTCTTCCCACTATCATCGGCACCAGAACCTTAGGGCCAATCTATACTGATCTAACAGGACAATAAACAACCACAAAATCCATACTTTCCAAATTAAGACAAACTATACTTTCATACAGCCTTTCCTAACAAATATACACATATATTTTAACATCCATCTAGATAAAAGGTAAAGTGGATAACGTTCTTTCAGGTTTGAGTTCTGGGACAAACATCTTTTCCATTGCCATTACTTACCTATTATTTACAAGTACTAATATTTACAAATAATGTTTATTTACTAAGTTTTTAATAGTATAGTTATTTATCTATGATTTAACTGAAGACGGACTTGCATTTTCTCTTTACCACATATACGGTAACAAAAAATCTAGTTCTGAAAAGAGCAAGAATTCTGTACTTATCATCTTTAATGTTGGTATATTGATGTGTCTAACTAACCACAGTGTTTTTGTGGTCAAGTAATTGTTAATCTATGAAAAATTAAAATGTTTTGAATATTGAGAGTATTACTGTAGTATCACTTGCAGAGGTGTCAGGTAACAAAGTACAAATACTTTGTTACTGTACTTAAGTAGACTTTTTAGGTATCTATAGTTCACCCCTACTTATTTTTCTTCCTACTTCTGACTTCTACTTATTGCATTTTCACACAAGTATCTGTACTTTTTAAACAAACATTACTCGTCACTCTTGGCTTCGGTTTAATGTTTCTAAATATTCAATTCATGTCATGTGCGCCATCCAATGCAGATCATTGGCTCCATCCACATCTAGTGAAAACTAGTGTAATTGGATGAGTCATATAACGCAAACCCTCATTGGTTAGCTAAAGGAAATCATCAAAAGCAAGCAGGTGTTCTTCAAACTGCAAACGCAAATTGTCTATGCCATGCTACAATGTCGAATTCAGAAAAAGATGTGGGTTTGTCAGAAAGGTCGGACACAGGCGAGAGCGTATCGGGAGACGGAGACCAACAAGACCTCCCTCATCCTTGGTCCTATCTCAAAGAAGTTTTCGAAATAATCTGAAAATTGATCTTTCAATTCATTTAGTGGCATCTGCCTGTTTTTTTTTAATACTTTTATACTTTAAGTAGTTTTTGGAGTACATACTTTTTCACTTTTACTTGAGTAAAAAGGTAAATTCTATACATCTTTTAAACTGCAGTATCTATACTTCAACTTAAGTAACTAAAGTGTGTACTTTTGACACCACTGATCACTTGAGAGTATTGCTGCTGCCACTGTCAGTATTATGGGGATAAAAATGGTAGGGGTGGCCAATGATTGGATAAGAGTGGCCATGGCCCCCTCTGGCCCCCCATCTAGCTCCGCCCCTGCAAGGCATGTGATACCACAGAAGTTCCAGAGCCAATTTATCAATGATCTTTCCAGGATTAACTATGATTATTATTGGAAGACCAGACAGCTGTTAGGAGAAATATAACCTAGATTAGCTCTTTAACTCACTAACTTAAATAATAAACTTGCTGTATTGTTGTGTGCGCGGTCTTCAGTTTATTCCAAAAAGCAGCTTGTTGTTGGGCAGAATGTTTGCTTCCAGCGTGTTTCTGTCACATAGAGATCCTAATAACATGATGATGTTTACCAAACAGTCTCAGCAGCACGCCGCATTATCACACATGTTGGCTGATTAGTCTTAAACCGTCTTCTCTGCATTAAAGGCTCCGAAAGGCGCCACCTACCCGAGCCGAAAGCCTTGGCCACCAGCCACGTCAGGCTGCAGGAGATCTTGGCCCTGGTGAAGTCGTAGTGATCGAAGCTCTTGATGGCAGGAACGATAAATGTGCGTCTCATCCCTCTGTCCTCTGGCGCATCTCCCATCGTCCGTCTGTGCGTCTGTGTCCCTCAGTCAGCCGGAGGAGCTCCTCCTGAATGCAAATGACATCCTGTCCAGAGGAATCCGATGCAGTAGGGGGGGGGAAAGCAACCTTAATGCTGATTGGAAAATAATAATAAAAAAAACTTAAAGCCTGTCTGTTCTAATCTTGATTGAATCCCTCCTTGATCAGATGAGCCCCCTGCTCAGCGTTACCTCCTTCAATCGTGACAGCAGTTTGGAGGCAGGATTCCTGAAAAAAAAAAGATCCTTCTTTTTTTAAATCTTCAGCTCTTACGGCATAACGAAAATACTTGCGGCACAAGAGCAAAGATAAACATTTCCCATCAAGGTAATAAAATAAAGAAGTAAGTTGAACCGCTGTTCCTCTTTTTTTCCCTTTTCCTAACTGTTTTCATCTCCTTTTTTCCCCCTTCTGCGCTTTTCCTGCCGCACTGATCATTGGATGAGGCGCATTGCGCACGCGCGATCCACCCACCCCAGCCTTTACAATCCTGTCAGGAGTCATCACAATGTAATACAAACTAAGGGTAGGATGGCTGCTGACTCAAACCCACATGTTTCCATAGTGAAATACATGAGAAAAGCCTAAAGAATGGGCTCTGGTAATGCAGTGACTCAAAGGAATATCACAGTACTGATAGTTAGATAACCTTTTTATTTTCTTAAATTTGAAGAAACAAAAAACAAAACTGCATTATATACTGGATCTGTTGGAAAAGTTAGGATGATATATGACATATTTTTGTGCTATAAATATAAAACATATTATCCTGTAAGTTACACATTCTCCCTGACTAAATCAGATAATCAAAAATTTCAGCTAGATTAAATATGTACCTTTTAATAGCGTTACAATCCTAAGACTTGCAGAGGTATATAATTTCTCACATTTTTTCAGGTCAGTGCCACAAATTTCAATGAGTCTTTTTTTTATTATTAAAAGAAAGCTGCAGATTTTTGTAAAATAAAATTCAAAACAAAAAAACAATACAAATCTAAGCTGCAGTTCCTGGCAGTAATCCCATTCACTGTAACACCCTTGATAAAATCCAGTTATCTTCAAAAGTCATCTCTATTGTTAGTTATAAATGAAGCTCGTCTTTGAAGGTTTGATCTGAGAACCTGAGTGAACAAATAGGATCTTGAAGTCCAAAGAAATCAGCGTGCAGGCCAGAAAAAGAGGAGTGGTGGGTTAAAACTGAAGGTTAAACAAATATATCCTAAGCTAGAGAAATCTGGTGGAGGACTAATTCATCCATAATCTGCAAACAAGGAAAATGCAAACCTACCAAGTCTTCAAAATGAAAGCTGTATAAGGAGAAAAAAAGAGACGGTATACAGGCCTGTATTCTGCTGTCACCAACAGTGCTGTCTGAACCATTCTAAATATTAAAGCTCCAGGCTGCTCTTATTGGTCAGAAAGTCACCATAAAATTATGCAGTGTGAAACCACTGCTCAAGTCAATTGGATATGACTGAGAGGTAAAGAGTAGACTGCAAATAATATATATATATATTTTTATTAGGGCACAAGATGCACAACACTGCTCATCTAAGGTGACTTACATATAAGCATTATCTAGAATTTTTTATATTAGATAGGTACAAATAGAAGATATAACACAAAAGTATAATGGAAAACATTTGCACGTATAGACTAATCATTTGGCCCAATCTTCCTTTTAAAACTGCAAGGAAGAGTTTATGTCAGTGTAAAACAAAGTAATGTGTTTGAGGACATTAGTTTGAAAGATTTTCCCACAGTTTCCTAATTGAAATCAGGTCCGGGCTTTTCTATCAGATCTTTGGGACGTTGTGCTAAAATGTCTCTTTGTGTCAAAATGTGCTTTGACCCGAACACTTTTTGGAGTCTTTTTCCTGCTGAAAGTTAAATCATGAACCCAGCCTCATATTTTTCAAGGTTAGAATAGTCATTTTTTATTGCAAGATAGGTGTGCATTTACCTGTGTACATACTCCAGTCAGCTGTCCCTGTTGAAGAAAGGCATCCCCCACAGAATGATGCAGCCACCACCATACTTCCTAGTGGAATTCTACCTTATGTCCATCTAAATCCACTTTTAACTTCTCTATAACTATCTCCATACTTTCTATATGTGTTTTTTGGTCTTCATGTTTTCCAGCAAACATGTGACATTTTCAGGAAGGATTAAATATGCAAATGTTTTTCTATAAAAAGTTTCATATTCAAACCTCTTCAAGTGGGATTTGAATAGCTTTGCCAGGCTGCAAAGCTCATATGTGCAGAACAAGTTCAAAAGGAACTAACATTCAACAGCTGATTTACACAAATATTTCCGTTTGCTTAGCAGTTCACATTAGTCACAACTTTATACGTTTCATGATTTTTTTTTTTTTCAAGATTTAAACTGTGGATTTATTTATTTATTTATTTTTTTGGTGTCCTCTTTTGCAAATAGAGCTCTTGGAATAGATTTCTCAGAGCTCAATCATAGCCCAACATATTTGCTTTCACAAGCAGAATTTTATGGCTGTTGCCGTAAGGTTTTGCTTGGTATTTGTATATGAAACTTTATTAAAAATGATTAAGGGAGTAAAATTATATACAATGGACAAAAAGACGAAACGGAAAGAAAGGAAATAATAACTAAGTAGAGAGAGAAAGAGATAGAGACAGGAAAGAGACCATGAAAATAAAACAAAACAGCAAAAATAGGAAATAGGAACACAGAAGATATACAGTAACTCCTTGAAGTCTACTTCCATACCCGTATGAGATGAGAGGAACAGAAAACCGAGAGCGTAACAGAACAGAACAACCAAACTAAACATAAAAAAAAATATCCATGTATGTGGAAGGAAAAACTTATGGTAATTACAGGGTGGTATATATCTGTAGCTGCAGCTTAGTATTTAGTATTAGTGTGTATCCATGAACACCTGGAACTACACTCCTGTGGCATGTATGCATTGGCATGCTCGTGTGTAAAGGATGTTACAAAGCTTCTTCAGGAAGGAAAGTATGCTTAATAGCCGGTGTAGGCGACCCCAGACTCGCTCTACAGGGACCAGAACAGAGAAAGAGGCCATACGAGCCCCAGATATTCAGGGGCACCCCAGGTTACTGGGACACAAGCGAGTCAGGCGTAGGGACAGCCGTACCTACCAGAGAAGGGAAGATGAGAGCACTTGGAGCCCAACCCCCAAGGGGTCCAGTCCCTGAGGGGCATGTACCCAGAGGCCATAGTGCCTAGATGCCACCGGGTTTGACAACGAGCCCATGGGCTCTGCCAGTGGCTAGTCACACCCAACGTGACCCGTATAAGCATCCAGGGGTCAGAGGGCCCGGGAGTGCACCACCACCTCGTGGCGACCCCACAGGTCCAGGAGGCCTAGGCCTGGCCCGGCAGACACAGACACCCCTCATCTGTGGGGGGCATAAGAAGGGGACAGGTCCTGCTCATACTAGGGGCCTAGGATGTTCAGTAGGTGGGAGGATAACAGTCAACCTGACAAGTAGACAAAAACAAATTCACATTTTTACAATCACATTCACACAGTCCCACCCCATCCATAGGGACATATACAGTACAAGCACTCAACAGAGGCGTGATATCCCAAGTAAACGCCCGAATCCAGGCCGCCACCTCACCCCACTACATACAGTATGGATGTCTAACCCACCTCTGCATTTAGCCAGCTCTGAGAACACATAACTTTAGGGCACTCATGCTAAAATACTTGCTTTTTCTGATTCAAACTTCTGATCTTGATTATTTTCCCCAGAAATGGTTCCTATTTATCCTCGGCTGTAGGTTTATATACATTTTGAATTTGTGTTAGGGGTTTAGGTCAGTTCTAATCATTCTGTTCTCACATTACCATCATCTGAACACCATAAGGTTAATACCACCATGCTTTGATTATAGCAGTGAT